CAGTATATATACAATTAGAACTAAATTTAGTAAAGTTTAGTACTTTTAGTACACTTATAGGTCGAATTTCCAAAAACTCGTTTGTACAGCTTTCTAACTTTCCATTAGTGACCCACATTCAAATTTCAGAATTCTAGCTCTTCACGTTCGCCATATTTGGTACATTTCGTACCCTTCTAGTTCGAATTTCCAAAAACCCAGCCCTATCTCACGCCTACATACCAACAACAACCCACACTCAAAATTTCAAGCTTCTAGCTTCAGCCGTTTCGTCTGGGCGATGATCTGTCACTCACTCACTCACTTAACACAAAACTCTATATATATATATATATATATATATATAAATTATGACATTTTCCACACGAAAGTCTGGACCATTTGACCCTCTAAATATTGACCGATCTTTATCAAGACAGCCACGTTTATTCTTATGCCAGATTCTCTTTATCGTTTAAACTTTCTTGATCTTTCGGTCATTATAGTGGACACTAGAGCAAACAGTAAAAGAAATAAAAAATTGATCCATTTTATACCCTAGATATGCTATAATACCCTGAGAACACAGTTGTGTAGGGTATAATTGTTTATTGTTCAGAACAACGAAAAGCCGAACAAAATTATCCTAACAATGAAGGTACAATACTGGGCTTTGAGGTCGAACATGTTAAGGTGCACAAAAATGCAATGTTCTACCAACATTTGTCCCAATAGAGCCTATCTGCTATTGGGACATTCACTCTGACAACCATTTTCAAATATGGACATTTTTGCTGACTTCCTACACCTTAATGTTTATAAAAACCTTAGATTTATTGTCTATCCTCTCTAGAGCATTAACATCAAACCGATCGAAATATATATAAATATATGATTTACACTTACATCTCTATTTCCTGCGTTTAATCTGATTTTGTAAGGGTGCATGGTTCGTTAGGTTCCACAGCTATACGCTACTAATAGTGTTGGCCCAATGTTTGGTTTTCCTCGATGTATGTGAGGTTCTCCATTCACCATGTAATCATCCTAATTCTACTACACAAGTTAAAATTCGCATAGGTCAAAGGTTGTAGATGTGTAGTGATCATTTTTTCTGTCGACTCAATTATACATGAAGATCTTGATTTTTAGCTATTGTATGAATTTTTTGAGATTACATTTCTGCATAATCTGCCCTTCTAAATTAAATTTTTGTACGTCCTCTTCGTCCTTCATGTATTAATGCCATTTATCACATTATCACAAGATGCGAATTTTCATCCTTGCAATATTCTACAAACATATTGCTGATAATATTGTAGGTGGGTTCCTCAATGACGAGAAATCAATATTTTAATTTTGTTTTTGCAAAATAGTCAGGCTGAATCCCAGTTTGTTGTTTTTATAAAAAAAACCAAATATTTATTAGTGGGGAATGTATGGCATTGTTTGCCTAGGGGTAAGACAGGGAAGACTATAGTTTCGGATCACGCCACTGATCCTCATCAGTTCCCTTAGTTTTTTGTTGGGATATTCTCCCCAGAAGATATTGCTTCTATATAAAAAACCTTTCATACCCAAATGACTCTTGTAACAAAGCGAAGTACTTAGCTGACCAACGACATAAACTGCATGAGAATTTCGCTGGAGCATCACATCGAGGTTAACAAGGCATTTGTAAGGATAGCTATAGAAGAATTATAATCCTGTCTAGCGTTCTGTGTGAACGACTCAAGGCAATGGTCAATGACATCGACACATTGATGTGTTTTTCGAATTGAGAAGGAGTCTGCAAAGTGGTACTGACAGTAAATGGCGAGAATACCAAGCTGATTGTATCAACGCGCAAGACGTCCAATAGACTCGGACCAACTGTGGAACTTGAAAACTACAACTTCGAGGAACGATTTTATATATCTCGGTATCAACATAAACAAAACTAATAACATCAGCTTTGAAATCCCGAGTAGAATAGTGTTGGCCAACAAATGCTACTATGATATGAGCAGGCAACTCAAAAGCAAGGCCACCTCTCGGTGATATTACCTGATAAGAAGTGCCTCATCTGGGTACTTGCACAAGCAGATGAGGCAGCTCTTGGAGAGGTTTTGGGGAACCATGAGCTAAACCCTCTATTCTCGGACATCGACCTAGTCAGACGGATCGAGCTGAAGCGACTACGTTGACTAGGTCATGTTGTGAGAATGGATGGGGATTTCCCCACTCAAAAGGCATATAAAAGCGAGCCAAGTAGGTCATGTTGTGAGAATGGATGAGGATTTTTCCACACAAACGGCATATAAAAGCGAGCCAACTGATGGTTCCCGCAGAAGGGGAAGGCCTCGAATCCGATGGAAAGACCAAGTAGAGAACAACACCTCTGAAGATGGTCTTTCAAATTGGATGATATGCGCACAAGACCAACGCGCTTGGAAATCTGTTTTAAGATTGGCTTATGAAACCACCGTTCTGTCACAAGCCAGCTAAGTGGTAAATCTGGAAAATTTGAAGTAAGCATGATTCGAATTATTCCGTATGTATATATATGAAATTTTTAATTGATTTTAACCAATGTCAATAGCATTCGTCGTTGGGCCAAATAAATCAGCTGTACCTAAATTAGAAAGCATACATAAATCGATCCAGAAAGTGATTCTAACGACTTTTCTCAAAAGTAATTATGGGTCCATCAGGTTTCATGTTGTATTTTTTAAACATATGCACATATACATAACTTTCTCTACAACCAGGGATGGTCCGTGTGACAAATTTTTAGGTTTTTGACAGTCAAAAGGTCTAAACGTCGAAAACGTCATATACCTGTATAAAATGTATTAAATGTAGTAAACGCCATTTATTTGAATAATATTACCATATACGGTTATTTTCAAGAATATATATAATTTTTACATATATCTGACTTTTCCTTACTAGAACTGATAAAAAATTCTAAACTTTTTGGAGAAGAAAATTTTGAAATTTGGTATGGATTTGAGTAAAGCATATGTAATTTCCAAATTGATTAATGGAAAAAGCTATGTTGTCAAAAACCTAAAGGGCCCCATACACTATTCATCATGCCGTACAGCATTTATTATAGTATGCATACTGTGTATTATTTTTTGAAAGTTTGTTTATGTATGTGTGACACACACAATGCATGAAGAAAATCAAAATAGTTTTGATTTTGAAAATGAACCCCTATCAATCTGGTGAATAATATTCATTTTGAAAGTTGTCAGTAAATAAGTTTGTGTACAAAATAATAAAATTGTGACGGAATAAAAAAACAACTGAATTGACGACTCAAAATGCAATTTTTGGGACAAAAATCGATTTTTTGAAATAGTGATTGAAGAATTTGCCATACACTAGTCAAACTCACATATACAAAAAGGGGTTCATCGGCATGACGGCATGATTTATAGTGTATGGGGCCCTTAATGGTTTTGGAAGGGTTTCCGACGTTTCTGACGTATGTATTATACGTCGGAAATGTATGTTATTTACGTCACAGTTTCCGACGGGCCATCTCTGTCTACAACAGTAATTTTGAACCTGTAATTGGCTATTTTTTATTTTTTTTCAATACTTATACAAATTTTGATACACATATTACACTTCTACTACACTACTTGTGAAAAATATCATGGAGTTCCTTAAACCCATTTTTGCCAATTCATGTGGATATTGGATTAATGTTATTTCTCAAAATTTCTCATATTGAAAATAGTGTTCGTTATTTTATTAATTATACAGATTTTCATAGCCATTGGTCTGAAAATTCCTTTCATTTATTGGGTTTATACTTTAAAATTAGTGCATAGTCTGTCATGTGCATAACAAACATAGCATGGCTGACTAGTTCACACGTTCTAAGCCATGTATTCTAGAGGCCTTCTTTAATACTTTCTACAACAAAAAATAGAAAAAAGAATTAAACCTAAAATAAAATTTACCATCTTCTTCCGATGTAGTCTTAGACATGCAAACACCTCTGATGCTCGGCCAAATACTTTGTAGATTTTTTTCCAATTTTGGTTTTCATCCACTTAGGTGAATGCCTTTAGTATTTATTTTTGTATGAAGGTCTAAGTGTGTATGTGTCCAACTTGGATCACGTTTATGTGTGACTATATCATGGGCAGGACATTCTCCATTTAACCATATAGAAGCAAGCAGGCCAGCCTTTGTCGTATGGACAAACTAACTAATACTCAAGAAACTCATCGATATTCTTGGCAAGTTTTAAGACTTGTTTTAACTAGAAGAAATCTTCAAGAGTCCGCTTTCTCAACGCCACTCAACATATTTTGTTTTTTGTTGCGATTCATTTTTACCTTTTTTTGTTATTTGCGACAACTTTCAAAATTATGCTGAAGATACCTTATGAAACTTAACAAGAAAGGAGTTCAAGTGTGTTGGTATAAAGAAAAATGGATGATTTTTCGGAAGGTGTGATGGAAGTTAGGTCACACTAATCAATTATGTATATAAAGACGACCCTCAACTGTAGGAACTTTACACTTCGAACATGGGTATAGCTAAATTACAAATTTTCAATACCATGTAACATAAATTATAAGGGATTCTTAGTCCTCAATATCGGATATATTTTTGTTCTCAAAAGCTATTTGGCGGTTAACTTTATTGAGCCACATACATCATCGGGACTCTCCCACTCTTACAAATTCTGGAGAATGTTACACTAATTTAACAGTACATATTTATTTACTCTCTAGCATTTAAAATTGAAATCCTATCATTCCAAAAATTTCATCACCCTTTTATTCGTTAACATAATCGAACCTACTACTGACACATGGAATGCCACCACCTTGCTTAAGGTGAATGTGGATATGTATGTTATATACCTACATACATATATTTTACCAACAAGTTTTTCCTTTTCCATTTCTTCACCCAACCCTCAACCATCTTATATAAATGAAAAAAAAGTAGAAAAGCAAAAAATAATAAAAAGAAAGAAAGAAAACACAAAAAAGAAAGAGTAAACTTACCTCCAAACAAACAGGACATTCCAATAATTGGGCAATATGTTGCAGGCAAGTTGCAAACTTTTGCAACGATTGCTGATTAATGTTATGCTGCAAGTTTACCAAAACAGAAAAGAAAATAAGAAGAAAAAGAAAAAAATCAACATCAGCAACAATAACAACAACAAAAGCAAATTTAGAACAAGTTTAATTAGCTTAGGTTTACTTTTTTCCTATCAATGTTTCGTCTTCTTCATTGCCATCTTCTTTTCGATGCGTGCATGTAGTATGTATGTAGGTAGGTATGGATTTTTTGAAAGACTCACGTTGTCAAATAACATGGTTATGTACATAAGGACGTTTTTAGAGTAGGGGTCTGTGGAAAGTGTGTACATTTCATATTTATTGGGACCACGTTGTTTTATTTAATTTAAAATGCCGGAAATGTTTCAGCTAACTAATGAACTATGTGAGGGTTAAATTAAAAGAGAAGAAAATATATACTGGGTTAATTTTTTTTATATTTTATTTTGTATTTATATTTTATATCAGAATTTATTTTATCTGAATTTTTGGAAACTATAGATTTTCAAGAAACTGTAGAACGTGAAAACACAGGGTATGGCGAATACTTTTTATAGCCTTCTCCACACTGTGGTACAGGGTGTTATGTCTTTGTGCATATGATTGTAACAAGCAAAAGGAAACGAGATATACACAAGGTTCCTTTTGAGAATATGCATAGAATCACTTTCTAAGTCGATTTATGCATGTCCGTCCGTCTGTCTGCCCTTGTTAAACAAAGTACAGGTCGCATTTATGATCCAAAGAACGAACTCTATTGAAATTTGGTAAAATCGGTTCAGATTTAGATATAGAAGCTATTAATAGCTTCTTTACAAAAAACCTTTCAAACCCAAATGTCTCTTGTGACAATTCGAAGTTCTTACGTTACCAGCTATACGACCCCAACTGAAGTTGTAGACGAGGCACGGTCATACTGTTTGGTTTATTGCTTTAACTAGCAATACCAACAACAACCTTATGTGCATTCGTCACAAAGTGACGACACATAGCAGTGGGAAATGTATTGTAGTTGTCTGTAAATGCCTTGTTGACCACGAAGTCAGGCGCCATCAAAACGAACATCTCATTGGGGTCGTATCGCTGGTAACGTAAGAACTTCGAATTGTCACAAGAGACATTTGGGTTTGAAAGGTTTTTTGTAAAGAAGCTATTAATAGCTTCTGGGGAGAATATCCCAACAAAAAACTAAGGGAACTGATGAGGATCAGTGGCGAGATCCGAAAAATAGTTGTTTTTTTATAAAAACAACAAACTGGGATTAAGCCTGACTATTTTGCAAAAACAAAATACAAATGGTATCCCAAATAACCCGCCAAACACTACTGTAGCTCCCATATATATTTTCGTCCGACTAAATGTAAATGGTGTACTAAAGTTCCCATATATATTTCGATTTCCATGAAATTTGGCTTAGCATACTTAATTAAGTCTAGAATAATACGTGTAAAGTTTTGTGAAAATCGGCTCTGATTTAGATGCAGCTCCTATATATTTTTTCGTCCGATTTAATGTAAATGATGTACCAAAGTCTCTATATATCGTTCGATTTGCACGAACTTTAGCGTAGCGTACTGAGTTAAGTCAAGGATGGAGTGCGTTAAGTTTCGTGAAAATCGGTTCAGATTTAGATATAGCTCCCATATATATTTTCGTACGATTTAATGTAAATGGTGTACCAAAGACCCTATATATCATTCGAATTGAGCGAAATTTGGCATAGCGTACTAAATTAAGTCTAGAATGTTCAGTTTCCTGAAAATCGGTTCATAGCCCCCATATATATTTTCGTCGGATTTAATGTAAATGGTTGATCAAAGCCCGCATATATCTTCCGATTTTTACGAAATTTGCATAGCTTACGTAATTATGTCGTTATGGTTATTGTTTTTCTTCTTATACCCTTTACCACACTGTGGTACAGGGTATTATGTCTTTGTGCATATGTTTGTAACAGGCAAAAGGAATCGAGATAGACCCATGGTTCCTTTTGAGAATATGCATAGAATCACTTTCTGAGTCGGTTTACGAATGTCCGTCTGTCCGTTCATGTATTTTTGTGAACAAAGTACAGGTCGCATTTATGATCCGATTTGTATGGAATTTGGCACAGATCATTTGTTGGTCCCAAGGACGAACCCTATTGAAATTGGAGAAAATCGGTTTCGATTTAAATATAGCTCCCATATATAGTTTCGTTCGAGTTTAGGTAAATTGTGCACCAAACTCCCAATATTTGTACGATTGAGCCAAAATTTTGCACAGAGAACTGACTTTGGTTTGGATTGGTAATGCCAAGTTTTGTTGAAATCGGTTCAGATTCAGATATAGCTCACATATATAGTTTCGTCCGATTTTATGAGAATAGAGCACCATACTGCCAATATTTGTCCGATTGAGGCAAAATTTTGCACAGCGTATTGAATTGTTGAAATCGGTTCAGATTTAGATATAGCTCCCATATATAATTTCGTCCGATTTTAGGTAAATGGTGCATCAAACTCCCTATATTTGTCCGATGGAGACAAAATTTTGCACAGAGTACTGAAGATTTAGATATAGCTCCCATATATAGTTTCGTCCGATTTTATGTAAATGGAAAACCATACTGCCAATATTGGTTCGATTGAGACAAAATTTTGCACAGGGTATTGAATTAGGCCCAGATTGATGTATATTGTTGAAGTCGGTTCAAATTTGAATATAGTTTCGTCCGATTTTATGTGAATGATGCGCCAATCTCCCAATATTTATCCGACTGAGACAAAATTTTGCACAGAATATTGAATTAGGCTCAGATTGATGTACGCACAGGGAGCGGGGATTTTTTAAGAATACATTTAAGTTTTTTTTGTATTTTTTTCTTCACCTACCCCAATACACACAAATTACCATAAAAACACTCGCACACACACATATACCTTTACATGACCATCGTTACATCGTTATATTTGTTAACATATTCTCCCTAAGCTACTTAAAATTAAATTCGATAGAAATTGAATTATTCCTGGCAACAAAACTACAACAACACCAACAAAAAACAAAACGAAACAAGGATATATATATAAATAGCCTAGGCTTTTGTAGATTTTTACTAGTTTTTGTTTATCTCTCTTTTATGGCTACTGCTATAATTGAATTGTGTGTCTATGTGTGTGCGTGTGTAAGCCATAGAAAAATTAATTTTATTTAAATGGAATTCAATGGAAAATTGGAATTAATTGGAATCGTTTACCATGTGATTGGATTTGTTGGACATTTTGGTTGAGTAAGCTAATTGAGAATTTCCATATGTATGTGTGTGTTTCATGCTTTTATGTACTTACATACTTAAATTATGTATGTATGCTATTACAAACACATACTAGTCAAATGTATTATGTGTTTTGTAATAGGCGTTATAAAATGGGTGTGTTTGAATGTTAATATAGGAAATAGTCGTACGCTGGGCTTTAGATATTTTTATTATTATCAAAGAAATGAAAGGCTATCATTAAAGTTTTTAAGATATGTAAGGATTTGGATATATTTGAGATTGATTTTGCTACAGATCGAACAGTATTAAAATTGGAACACATCGGTTCTTAGTAGATATGGTTCTAATATACATTACCATATGCTTTTATTTTTCTTTACGATCAACAAATTTAGCACAGAAGACTGATCCGAGATTACAAATGTAAATATTGAATATACTATCTTAGAGTACACGTGTCAAGTGTCAAAATCTCCCTATCAAAAATTATCAAAATTGACCCAAGATTCTGGGTGGGACCCATAATTTTGAAGATATTGGTCACGGATTTTCAAACGAATTTCATAATGAAGCCAGTAAGGAAAGGATTAAAGTCGGACGGAGCCGACTATATGATACCGTTCACCAGTTTGGGTATATGCAACAGATGAATACTAACAGACGTACCATTTTTGAAGGACCATTATATACTCAATTCTTCATTTGGTCAGATATAGAGTTGCTTCCTACAATGGGACAAAATTATGTAAATCAATAATAAGATAAACATGACGAGTTTGGTGCACCATTTACTTAAAATCGAAAGAAAAAATATAAAAAAGCTATATCGAAATCTGAGCCGATTTCATCGAAACTTGGCACAGGTTAGGTTATACTAATTTCAGCGTGTTTTGTGCATATCGGCCACATACAACATGAGTTCTTGTTACATGATTTACTTAAAATCGTTAGAAAACATATATGGGAGCTCTATCCAAATCTGAACCGATTTCAACAAAACTTTGCACAAGCTAGGTTATTTTAACTACAGTACGTTGTGCAAACTTTTGTGTCTATCGTTTTAACTTTGGGTCTTTGGCGCACCATTTACATAAAATCAGACGAAACTATAAAAACTTGGGACACGGAAATAAGTATTTCCGTACGTTGCACTATGGGTAAAAAGTATGATTTTTTGGCATAAAGTCAATTTTTTTTGTTTTCATATTTTGAAATGTAACTGATTTCCTAAATGTAGACATCCATATTAGAAAAAAAAAAAACATTCAATATCAATGGGGGTGGCGACCCTTTTTTGCTGGCGAGCTTTAAAAGTCAGCAGTTTGAAAGTCACATTGTTTTGGTACAACTGGCGGTAAAAATCAGCTAAGTTCGAGTGCTTGTAATTTGACAAAATTGAAAAAAAAAAATTAAAATGTGTAATTATGGAAAACGTTAGTGCAGGTATGTAAAATTAAGACGAGATGCCCTTTTTGTCATATGTGTCTGTTGTTGTAATACTATGAAATGTTTTCTTTATGTATAACTTTATATAAAATCTATAAATTGTAGTTTTGTTCCGTGGAGTGTAACTTGTGAATGGCAAAGCATTGCAAAAAGGTGTAAATGCCAAGTTATTAACAAAAGTGTGTTAATTAATGAAAAACTAGCTTTTTTTGTGCTTTTTTGTGCCAACTCGTGTTTTTTACTGAGAAACGTGTGTTTGCCCATGCAGCGCTTATTGAAATTTGGAGCAGCAAAAATCGCTCAGAAGATTCACTTATGAAAT